TCAATCCAACGTTGAGGAAATATGTCACTTAGAAAATTTCTAACAACTAATGGGAAATGAGGTGGAGCTCCATCCTGCATAAACCACATTTTCCTTCTTACATCTAGTGGCATATCATCCAAAATATCTCTAAAAGTATTTTGCAAAAAAAATAAATATTTTATGCATTTAAATTTGGAGGAAGACGATATGGCCCTAGTAGTTGGTCGCCTATAATGCCATGCCATGCCAAAAAAATGTGAAATAATACATAAAATAATATCCCTTGTCCAAAGAAATGCCTTTGAGCCGATTTTGATAATAATTCATAAATATACAGTGAGATTATAAAAAAACGAAAAAAAAAAATTCAACTTTAACGCCCTGTATTTTATTCCACAGCCATATTTTATTAAGGTATATTTGGTCCTATCGCCATATTTTGATCTAAATAACCTGCCCTTAATCTATGTCCCAATAGTTATGAATCACCCTGTATAGTACAAAATAATTTTATTACATTTTATGTGTATATTTTGCAGTCATTGTACGAATATAAAATATTTACTTACAATTGGTTAGTAATTTGCGGATTTGAACCCTTCAAAACTTACTACATATGTTTCGTAAGTGTTTTCGTATCAATTTTATTATTAAAAGTGCCGTGCAATCCGTAACTACCAAAATAATTACCTAACTGTCAGACTCATCAAACTTGTTATATTGCCTAGCAACGGTCCCACAGCTCACAAGTATGTTTCTTAAAAATATTTATTTTTACTTTCCTATCTGTATACTCCGAGCAAGTAATTGCTCGGAGTCTGTATACAGATATAAGGAAAGTATAGGAATCATGATTTCTTTCGACCTCGAGTTTTCGACGGATTTTTACGTTTTGAGGTCCCCTGAATCCGTTTCGACTATTTTCGCGATGATGTGTGTGTGTGTGTGTGTGTGTGTGCGTGTGCGTGTGCGTGTGCGTGTGCGTGTGCGTGTGCGTGTGCGTGTGCGTGTGCGTGTGCGTGTGCGTGTGCGTGTGGGTGTGTGTATGTGTGTGTGTGTGTGTAAGTCGCATAACTCATGAACCGATAAACAGAAAAACACCAAATTTTAAACTTAAACTTTATTCCAGCGTTTAATGAACTGATTAGAAAATTCTTCAAATAAAAGTTACTTCTAATATAATTATCTATAATTTTTATTCTATACATAATTTCTCTAAAATGGACCGTATTCGAGATATTTGAGAAAATGTGTAAATTTCGAATTTTGAAGAAAACTCAAAAACGAATAAAGAAAAAAACATTAAATTTTAAACTTAAGGTTTATTTCGGCCTGACGTGAAATGATTAGATTTTGGACAAAGTCGGAACATCTAGGGGGGTACTTTATGGGAGGCCGTTTTTATATTTTATGGAATATATCTGTTATTTATGTTTGGAGAAGAAAATTGTTCAAATAAAAGTTACTTCTAATATTATTATCTAAAATTTTCTGATTTTTATGAAAATTGTTGAACTTAAAGTTGTTTGCGATATCGATCTCTATAATTTTTGTTTATACATGATTTTTCTAAAATGGACCTTAATGGAAAAGTGCTAAATTTAAATTTTTCAGTATTTTCGTTTTAAATGAATATCTATAGAAAAATGTTTCGAGGTAGAAGTATGTGGACAATGTATATATTTAGTTTATCCTCTAAACAATTATAGAGATGCTGCAAAAGGTTATACAAAATAACCGGAAAAAGCCTATAATAACTAGATAGGAAAGTCATGTGTTGGACACATCAGATTTTTTTAATTAAAGAATACAAACGGGACGAACCCAAGTACAGTATTCACTGTTGTACATAAATAAAGTTAAGCTATAAGTAAAAAATTATTCTGATTACAAAGAATAAGAAAAACATGAGAATTTCACTAAATGTTATTTAAGTAAAATTTTTTCAATTTATTACAAAAACTAAAGAATTTATTATGAAATATGTCAATTTCGAGATGGTTACAAACTGAATTGTAGGATTTACAACACCTATGCAAGGGAGAGTTTAGATAATAGTTAGTGTTATCATTTATTTGACGTCTATCTTCAAAAGAAGTTAAATTTAAGTTTTGCCTGACTGATGCAATTAGGCATTCCTACGGCATTCCAAAGAAAATGGCTGCCCGTTTGAAACGACAGGCCACTGAAACATTGCGCTCGGTCTGCCAAGTTCCTTTAACTCCTTTAACACTTTTAACTCCAAACGACCCTTTTATCGTTCGGTTTAGTCCTATTAGTGACAGTTTAACACGCTTAAATGTCATTTAAAAGCACCCTAAAATTTGTCCCGCTCCAGCCCCTGACTATCCGAACTCGCCTAAAGGTACATGATAGGTTATAATATGGCAATACTGTGGGCCAGGGGACCTATTTTCAAACTGTGTGAGTACTCATTTCTCTCAAGATTTTAGGAGAAATGTCGTATGTCAACGTGGAAACTGTATTTTGAAAACCAGTGACTACCTCATGACTACTCACTGACCTTTTCTCTCGGTTTATTTCGAGAGAATTCATATTCTCAGGAGAATTTGACCACGTGATTAGGGGCGTGTGTACTCTTCCTCCATGTGTGTACCTATAACCGATGTGTGTACAAGGCCAACTTTCACATACTCCTTTCTCTCGATAGAGCACTCTTTTCTCTCAATAGAGCACTCCTTTCTCTCGAGTTTGAAAATAACCCCGGGGCTCGATTCTCGAGATCATTGGAAAATTTTTCCATGACAAAATATTCCACTACTTATATTCCCATGGTAATAGGTTATGCAATTCTCGAACGTGTCGGAATAGACATTCCCATGGAAATAGTAGTTTCACGTATGTCTGATATTAAGTTCACGAATATTTCGAAACAACCAATAACATTAAAGATATTTTAAAATTTACTGTTGGCAATATTTGTATTTGTTGTGGTTTTTGGGTATCCGATTACCTGCCGAGCCTCCGCGCTGGAGCAGGTGCCGTGCCGAGCAATCGCTATCATGATCGAGAATAAGTGAAAATATTCGATTACGTATAATAATTAAAACTTGTCGAGTTATTCTTAGTTTTTCTTTTCTCATGTTGAAAAAAGAAAAGGTAGCTTTTGTATGGAAGAGCAACGAAAGTTTTGAGAAACTAAGAAATTCTTTCATTAACGAAAATAATAAAATTTTCGAAAAGGTCTTATTAAATTTACTACACTCAATTTGTGTTATTTGCCAGTCCCTTAGCAGCTCCCACAATTTCTAAATGATTTAGGAAAATAAGTTTATACAGTTTCTTAGTGAAAGAGAATTAAAAATAATATACCTACATAAATAAAATAATATAAATCTATAAATACGCCAAAAAAATGTTTTAACTACAATTTCACTAAAAATCCAAGATATCCAATAATTTTTGGTTATGTCTTAGACTTTCGCGTGGTCTTTAGTCAAATTTTCGACTTTAATGCGCAAACTCTAGTACAATTCCCATTGGAAAACACAATTTCCAATGCTCGTAAACAGGGGAATATTTTCCCATACTTCTCATTGGAAAATATTCCACCGCTTATGTGGAGAATACGAAAACTGAATTCCCATGGGAAAATTTTATTTTCCCATGGGAATAAAAGTCGAGAATTGACCCCAGGGGGTCGATTCTCGAGTTGTAGGAATTTGATTCCGAGGAAAATGAATTCCTATGATAATATTCCTACAGTTTTAGTTGTCGGTATTCTCGAGTACAATAGGAATCCAATTTCCTGTAGGAGTTCCAATTTCAGTATGTCGTTGATAATTTCAAGACAACGCAAAAAAGAGCCAATGGAATGTATTTATTTCAGTTAAATATAGTTGTTTAACAGTTGGCAACAAGGCAATTTGTCAAATATATTTGATTTTCTGGATGTACTGTTTATTTATCAGATATTTATTTTTAATATTTTTTATTAGCAGCAAAAAGAGAAAACGAGAAAGTTTCAGAAGGACTAAATACCATTGTGATTACCGTTATTCAGGGCCGACTAGAGAGGGGGGGGGGTAGCCGGGACTAATTCCCGGGGCCCGGACTCAAATGGGGGCCCGGCAGCGGTATAAGGGGGCCCGGCAACTGGAATTTTTGTTTTGTATGAGAAAAGAAATTCGACACAAGACGAGAGGGGGAAGTTTTAGGTTCGGAAGCTTTTCTTTTTTTTTTAGAAAATTGAATCCAAGTAGAGGAGGAAAAGTTTTTGGTTGAAGAGCTGTTTTTTGTCACGGGGCCCGATCTAGAGAATTGTCCTGGGGCCCGGCTTGGCTCCCGGCGGCTCTGCCGTTATTTATATTTATAAGTAGAAACTAAAGAAAGTAACTAGTACAAATGTTTTTCCTACACCAATAGGTTAATGCTTGTATCCTCTAATTTCTAATTTGAAATACAATACTTTCAGTATTTACCAAATTATAGTAAAATTCACATTATACATCATTATAACTTGGTTTGGGCTCCGTCGAGGAATCCTGATGTGCGAATTTCGCAAAAAAAGACTCAAAAGTAACTAGTTTCTTTGGTAAATTTTCATAAAATAGGATAATTTTACTCGTCAAATTAAAATTAACTTTTAATAATATATGTAGTATGTTTCTTTTTTAAATGAGTTTGAAATCGCCTAAAAAGTAAGCATAAATCAATAACCACATTAAACAAGCTACTATTGCGCAAGCGCGTTTACAAAATCTTGTAGGAAAATTAAATTCCCTGTCTCATGAGCATGGGAAATCATTTCCTATAACTGCTTAGGAAAATATTCCTACAACTTGACTTCAGAATACGTAACCTACTTTCCTATAGGAAAATCAACCAAATTCCTATAGGAAAAAAGTGGAGAATCGACCCCCTGGGTCTCGATTCTCGACTTTGTAGGAAATAATTCCTATAGTACAAATTCCTACGAGTATTTTCCTACGACTTCAATGACATGTATTCTCGAATCAAATAGGAATCTGAAATCCTATAGGAATTGAAAGTAGGGTATGTCTGTGATAACTTCAAACAATCATTTAAAACCACCAATCACCTTCGGTAATTTTTCATAAAATTTTGATCCTACATGTTGGTAGATGTGGGTATTGTGGGCAGTTTTAAAACTTTGGTTATAATATATATTTTGATTTTATTTTTAAATTTCGTGGTTAGTTTGATTTTATTTAGGTACATGGTTTTTGATTTGTCTGTTTTATATCTAAATTAAGAAATACTGACATTGTGGTGTACATAAGATGAGCGAAAATAAAAAAAATGGGTTTTTTGTCAGAAGAACAGAAACGTAAATTAATAGCGTTCCTTGAGCATGATGAGAGTTATAAAATAATAAATTTAGGGCCCTATTCAGTAATTTATCGTTTATGGACGACATCGTTAAGCTAACGACAGTTCAACCAACGACTTTTATAACGTTAATGTTTAAAGTGTTACAGTTAAATACCGCCGAAAATATGCATTTTATAAAAAAAAGTTTCAGACAAAAGTTTTATAGTTTTTTGGAGGAAACATTTTGGCTAAATTCATTTTTCTATAGCTGACCCATAATATGGCCATATCGAGGTGGATTTTTTTTCAAATTTGAACCCTATTTTTTTATATAGGTATTAGAATTCATAAAAAAATAAGGAACTTCTAAAGGAAACATTTTTTTATTGGAATTCTACTTCGCGAAAAAAAAGTTGGCCATATTATGGTTAGCTATAAAAAAAACGATTTTAGCCAAAATTTTTTCCCCAAAAAACTATAAAACTTTCTTTTTTATATAAAAGGCGGCATTTAACTGTAACACTTTAATTTGAACACCCGGTATATTTGACATTTTTTTGGAACGTAAAATAAAAATTCTACCAGTAGATATATTTATTTGTTTTTCAGAATATATTAATTATTCTTAACCTACAACCCGATCAGGGGGTCGACTAGGAATTCTGTTTCTCGCGGGCCATTTGCTGGTGTATTGTATGTAGGGTTTATTTAAATGAGTATGGATATATTAAAAAAAAAACAGAACTAGTCCAAAAGAATACAAAAAACAACTCGAGAACAGTACGAGTTGTATTTATTGGATTTGAAAGACAGAAACAAAATTTGATACTATCAAACCTGCTTCCTGGCAACTCAGGCCATTAGCCTCGTTTTCTGTTTAGGTTACAGAGTAGTATTATTATAATAGGTACTTCCATAATATAGGTTTTATTACTGTTTCGCAGTGCTACTTTAGGAACAGCACTGTTAATAAGAATCCAATAGTAAATGGTCGAATGGGCAATACTAACTTTTTTTTTAAATAATTAAATAAATTAGAAAAAAATTTCTTACAAATTGTACTTGCTATATTAGGTAGATGGCAATTTAGTTGTAAAATTTGTAAAAAAGTGCTTTTATTATTTAAAACACATCTTTGCTCACGATAAAAAATGGGAGGGAATGGAAAAATCACTTTAACGACACTTCATATTATTAACGACAGCTCTGTGGCTATCGTTGATGAACGACAATTTTACAACCATATTTGTCTATTTTCAACGATAATCGTTGTCTACTGAATAATAAAAGTTGTCTGTGAACGATTATCGTCTATTAACGACGTCGTTCAGAGTTAAGGCTGTATGTCACGATACTAAATTAAGTACTAAATTTAGAACTAAATTAATGCATTTTTTAAGTACTAAAAAAATTCACGTTGCAAACAGCAAATTTAGTACTAAATTTAGCACTAAAAAAAGTCATTAATTAATTAGATCTTTTTCTATTTTCTACTAAATTTAGTACTAAAAGTGCGCCGAAATGTTGCGCAGAAGTTTTTCATAGAAAAAGTTGACACGACGGTATTTTCTGTACCCTTTTATTTTTAATTAGCGACAATTTTACATTATCGCCTTGAATAAAGTTCGCTTGTTTGATTTTGTAGGTTTTATTGTGTTTTTTCGTGGCTTTTATGCTGTATTTGGTTGTTGTCAAGTCAACTAGTGTCAAATTGATAATAAAAACACCATTTACTTGTCTGTTTTACACATAATATTTCATTTCTCTGTTAATTTCACGTATTAATACGTCAATGCGCGTGCGCCTATAGTAAATTTAGTACTAAAAATTGGTATCGTTGCAAACGGAAAATAAAATATTTTTAGTTCTAAATTTAGTACTAAATTAATAACTTAATTTAGTGCTAAATTTAGTATCGTGACATACAGCCTTTAGATTAGATTAGATTAGGAGTTGGACGTTATTTGTCCTTGTCCACCGCGACCTTTTCAGATCTATTGTGGGACTCCGTTTGTTTTAGAGTATGTCGTCTAGCCTGGTCTTTTTTATTAGACTTAGTAGCTTTGACAGTGGCTCCCGCATGTAGTTGCATGCAATTGGCTTTTCTTCGCCCAATGTTAGAAACCTCATTCCAGCCAAGCCTTCACATTGGGACATACAGCCTTTACTGAATAGGCCCGTTTTAGTAACATACAACTGAAAAAATCATTCAAAATTTAAATGACAATGGTATTCAAATAACAGCAATGAGAGTTGAGAGCATTGCGCACGTACCGCAAATGTCAAAACACCAAATTCCTACAGCCAAACCCCATAGGAATTCATTTTGTAGAAATTGATTTCCTATAGGTATATCAAGAATACCAAAACTTGATTTTCATAGGAAAGTGACTTATTTCCTATAGGAATTTATGTCGAGAATCGAGTCCCAGGTGGTTTGATATGGTCAATGATATAGATAGTTATATAGATTCATCATTCATGTTTTTAAAAATAAACATTAGTTTTAAAACACATTTTTGCTAAACCGATTCAAATAAATGAACACTTGCCAGGCAATATGTACTTTGTCGGGTTACAGCCAGTAAAACTGACGAAAAGTTTCATCAATCAGACAAATAAGTGTCCAACCATATAGCCACTTTCATAACATAGCTGCGAGGTTCCTGGAAAAGCGCCATCAAAATATTCAGGTTTAAAGTTTTTTCGAGGGATAATAATTGCAGGCGGAACCAAATTCCCAGCAACATTAGCACATACAGCGATAGAGATGTGCTGACCTCGTTCTGCACTTGTCAATGCACCAACTGGTTTTTTGTCCTTTTGTGCAAATATTCTTCAAGAGTTCAAAAAACTTTGTGACCTGCGGCTTATTAAAAGCACTTGTCCTTGCTGCGGAAGTGGTTTCAGGGGCCCTCAGCGAGATTGAAGGGTAACGTTCCCTAAACCCTTTTAGCTAATCCCAACCTGCCATTTATGTATCTCCATCGAATCTATGAGACACTTTTACTGTTTTTGCAAATTGAAATGCTGATTTTCTGACATCAGTGGTAGTAAACCCAAAAAATCTTTCTTCAAATCTAGTAAATGCTCCAATAACTGTTTTTCTATGACTGAACTAAAGATGGGCTTGAAACGGCCAATATTTACGGGAACATTCACGAAGTGACGACCTAGTGTGGCCTTCAACCAACCCATCTTGTTTTCTTTGACGCTTTCAATGGCCTTCGCCATATCTTTCTTTGACCACTAAGAATGCTTAGACTTCTTCTGATAGTTGCCGGGCACCCTAAAAAGAAAATACAACATGATTTTATAGTATTCTTATTTACTTAACAAATTCAGGGTAAGATGATTATTTATTTTGTCTTAATAACCTAAAATATTTTTTTATTTGTAAAAATTCGTTAGTCGGTTGTAGAAAAAATATACTCGGGTGGATTGTCCTATCCACTCTTGTTGCACAAACTACTATTTTGGTTTGGAATTTTTTCACAAAATTTAAATTTTAACGTGTCTTGGATGGTTTTCTGCTAAATTGGTTTAACAACTTGATAGTCAAGTCATATTCAAATAAATGTTCTGCATAACTAAATATGTATATTATTTCTAGGTATCTATCACCACGTTAGGGACAGATCGGTAGGTCAATTTGGATTAAGACTTCTTGGATGGGGTGTCGAAAACGACGAACCTTACTGGCTCGCTGCTAACTCTTGGAACGAAGATTTTGGTGAGAAGGGTTTAATGAGAATCAGAAGAGGTGTTAATGAATGTAACATCGAAGACGACGTATTAGCAATGAAGCCTAAACTATAAATAATTATTACGTTTCAATAAAGTTGTATTGGCTTCTTAATATTTTTGTTTTTATTTATCTTTACCTTACTGTAATTAATCCAGAAAGGTTTGCTTCCTGTTAAATTAACTTAACCGACCGCAAAGTTTTTAAATTAGTTAGTATTTTGTATCAAAAGGAAAAAACTAGAGATAAGATTTTTAAAGTATTTTGGCTATAGGGGTCTGAGGTATCAGTTCATTTTGGAGAAGGGGTCTACAATAGTTAAGGAATCCCTGGTATAGACAGAATGAAGTGTATTATAATAACAATTCCAAAGGACTGCGGCCTTTAAGTCCTAATAGAGTTGTAAATATTTTTAATCATATTAATAAAAAGTGGGAACTTGCATTGCGTCACTTGCGTCACACTCGTCAAGCACGTAAAACACGTCGAACACCCGTTATCCCTTGATAAACTTCTATTACATGGCAGTGCTAGAAAGACAAAAGATGGAACTCATCACCTCCTTGCTAGGAATTAAATATTTATTATGATTTCGAGTTTTTAACACACGACATGTCGTTCATTTAACATACAATATATATCTTCCAATTAATTATTTATTTATTTTTTGAATTTATGATGGGATCAAATTATATTTAAAGTCCCACAATAATATCTAAACATTCAAGCCCTCCGTCATACTTAGTTCAAAATCATGAAGGTAATGTTGTTCGACATTATTGTATCGACTCTAAAAGATTCTTCAAAGGACTATGTACCCACTCCTGATACTCCTTCTTTCTGGTCTACAGGGGTATGCTAAAGAAGATTTGATTTTAAAGAGTACTACCAAGATTTTAATATCAGAGATGTTATCGTTGACGATCGAGACAATATAGGACATTTTCAAGGATCGCAAATCTGAAAATCTGCCCAATCGAAAGTGATTATGTAATTGAACGATATGCTGTCACAACTTTGTAAGCGCCAAATACAGATTTTTTTAAAAATAAAAATAAACGTTTTATTATCAATTGCTTACACATGTAAACTGTTTATAAAGTTAATATGATTGACCTTGGGTTGCATAATGTTACTTTAGGTATTATTGCCTTAGATGTATAAAGGACGGGGTTTTATGAACTTAGTTTTCTATATCGAGGTGTCAAGGTCTAAAGTGTTAAAGTTAGCATTCCTAAGTATGTAGTCTCACAACTAGATTTTCAGTTTCTATAGTATTTTTTTTGAAATCATTGATTAATGTAATAGATTTTTTGATTGATTATATTTTACTTTACTGTCACCAATAAAGATTGATAATAAAAGTTATTCTAAGTATATTTGTACAAGGATTTCTCCAAATCACCAACTTCAACAGGTTATGTGCCCAGCCATGCAAAGACTGTGAAGAAAAAAAAAAATCTGAAGCTAATAAAAGTTATCAAAGTTTATCTACATACGTTACCCAAGACTTGTTTTTTTTAAAAAAGAAACATGGAACTTACCGAAGTTCAGATTGGTTTGTTAGAGGTGAAATCCAACTGGTGCATTTGTATAAAGTATGCATTTTACTTAGAGGAGTTCCTGAAGGCATTGAAGTCATAGAAGGAAAGCTGAAATCACCTGCACCTCTTTCAGATTCATCAACCAAAGAAAAGTAAAAAGAATATGAAATTCAACTGGAGTCTTATACTAAAGCTGAAACGAGTGCACTATTGATACTTACCACACATATGACCGAAGACACTCTACAAAAAGTAATGAGATTTTCAACAGTTCATCGGGTATGGATAGAATTACATCGATTGTACGATGGAAGTACGGAAGACAAGTCATAAGACAAGCGACAATCTGACGATGATATTGCTACCCATACATCGAAGCTTAAAAAATCTCTGGAATGACCTTAAAAATGAAATAGCCAGGAAAAAACTAAACTTAAATAATAGCTGCAACTGATTTACCAGAACTATTACTCATCTGCAAGATATTGGGAACGTTACCGGAAAATTATTTTGTATTCAAATCAAGTTGGAATCTCATAGCAAAGACAGAAAGGACAGTTAATAATCTTACGACCCAACTGTGTACTTATGAGAAAGCTCTTACTTCAAAGCAACAAGGATCTGGTGAAGAGATCTTATCTGCAGAGAAAAGTAAATCAAACAAATCAAAGAAGCGTTGCATCTGTAATTACTGCAAGCAGGTTGGCCACAAAGTACGGCAATGTACCAAATGGAAAAAGGACGGACGTCCTCCAAAACCAGAAAGCGGTAATAAGGAACAGGAAAGACCTGACAGATACACGAATATGTCTTTAAGTATTATGGACAGTGTTTTAAACGTTGAAACTGATCATTATAATTGGTACGTTGATAACAAAGCTACAAATCATGTAAATAATTGATTTGACCTCTTTAAGTCATTTGTACAGGTCCCATACAGTGAGAACTGCAAATGGTAGTGCTCTTCATGCCGCAGGAAAAGGCACGATCACTGTAGAAGTAGTTGTAAATAAAAAAAGGGAAGAAGTAGATCTTTCAAATGTTTGATATGTTCCGGTTATCAAGAAAAACCTTTTTTCAGTTTTGTCTGCCCAGGATAAGCATCCAAATAGCGAGTTCTGTTCAAAAATAGAAGAATCTTTCAATAAATGGACTAGTCAAAGTAATAGGATTTCTGAATCGATATGTTTGATTGGTAAGCTACTAGCCTACTAGCTAAACTGGAGTTTGATGAAGAAAAAACAAAAATTAGCAAAGAAATACTTAATCTTTTTATTTAATTATTCCCAAATGAAGTGCCATTTTTAAAGAAAACCACTATGAGGTTATCAGTACAACTTTTTACTTCGGTATCTTTTTCTTTCACTCAACCAAATAAACAGTGATTTATTATAATTACCAGTGACGTATTAAAAACATTTATGAGAAACAAATAAAGAATTATGAATAGAAAATGGAGTGTTTCTTATGTAAAGAGATCAAACAGCCAACTAAAGATGTAAGAAACCCATGTCACCAGTGTGGCAAAAATTTAATATGCTTGGAATGCACAGAACTATCATCTTCTGAAATCAGGTGTCTGCCATTACAGAAACGTTTCCTGCAATTTAACTGCAAATTATGCCAAACTTATGACTTTGTAAAACTATTGAATAGTAAAATTGAGGATAAAGAAATTATAATCAAGGATAAAGAGAGAAATTATAAACAATAAAAATGAAATAATAAAAATGCTGCAAGAAAAGATTAAAGAATTAGAGGAAAAAGAGCAAAGTGGACCTGATCTATCCTATGAAAATGTTGCTTCATTAAAAATTAATGCCCAATGATGTACCGCATAATGTTCCAGATGAAATATTCAAACCTAAAAAAAATCAGGATCCAACTCAAACCATAGAAGACATTACGACTAACACTAACCCAGCTAATTTAAAAATATGACTCAAAAATATGAAAAGTACAAATTCTGGAGCAGCATCAAGTGTAAAAATAAAAATGAATCAGATATTTTTGAAAATATAGCTAAAAGTAGATTAGCAAACTGTTATACTATTGAGACGTCTAAAATGAGAAAACCATGTGTTAAAATAAAAAACTTCAAACAACAGTTAAATAAAGAAGAAATTGAGAACTCCATTTTCGATCAAAAAGAAACATTAAAAGACTTTAAGGTAACATTTATTAAAAAAAGGAATATAGATAGAGAAAATACAATATTTGGAGAATGTTCAGCATCAATTTTTAACCAATTATTGCAATTAAAGAAGGTATTTATTGGTTGGGAGCATTGCCCTGTTTATGAAAATTTGTCAATCTCTCGCTGTTTCCATTGTCAAGAGTTTTATCATAAAAAACAAAATTGCAGTAACAAATTAGCATATCCCTACTGTAGTGAAGAGCATGAACAAAAATACCATCCTCAACAAAAAAAGTTTGTTTTAACTGTATACTTTCAAATAATAAATTCAAAATCAAGACTAATATTAAACACCATTCAACAGACCTTGAGTGTCCCACATTTCAATATCACATAAAGTTGCTAAAATCCAAAGTCGATTATTCAACTTAATGGTACTAATCGATCAAATTACTATCTTGGACATTTTAAGTCAATTAGAATAAGGTTATCGTGGAGCCTTTATAGATCCAGGCGAATATGTATCCTTAATATCAAAGTATCACTTAAGTATTATTTGTTTAAATTACTATTATGAATAAAAATGTTTCTTTTTATCATTTGAATGTACGGTCTATTTTCACAGGCTTCAACAGACTTTATGAATTTATTACTAGCAGAAATATTGATATTTTTGGTTTAAGCGAAACTTGGTTGTCACATGCGATTGAAACGAGGATTGTGGATATAAACTCGTACACACTTATTCGTGCTGATCGAGATGATAGGGGCGGTGGTTTAGCATTCTACATAAACAAAAAAATTAATCATAAAATATTATTTTCAAACATTAGCCATTTTTTAGAACAATTTTGGATATCTGTGATTTATGACAATAAGACTTATATTTTTGGTGTTGTATATCGACCACCAAAAGCTAGTATCTTACAGTGTCTACAAGAACTAGAAGATTCCGTATCAAATCTTCTTCCTACTAGTGATTTGTTTATACTAGCTGGTGATCTTAATATTGACTGTTTGTGCGTAAATAGACCTTTTACACTACTTAATGAATTTCTTGAGTTGTTTAATTTAAAGCAACTTATTGATAAGCCTACTCGTATCTCCAGAACATGCTCTACTCTTCTTGATCTTTTAATTGTAAGTGAACCACATCTTATTTCTAACATTCATGTCTATGATATTCACGGCATTTCAGATCACTTCTCAATTTCATGTAGTATCGATTTTTTAAAAAAAGACTGCAGGCCCAAATATGTGACATATAGAAATTTTTCTAACTTCGATTTAAATGTTTTTAATCACGATCTACATCTTTTGACCCTGGACAACATATATGCCATGGAAAATGTTGAAGAAATTGTAAACTTTTTAAATATGACCATAATTAAATTGTTTGATTATCATGCTCCAATTGTAACCAAAAGAGTAAGCAAATCTCCTTCGCCCTGGCTAACATACAACATCAAAGAAATCATGAAGCTTAGAGATAAAGCTTACAAAAAATTTAAATCTACTCAATCAATCCATTGTGCACTGGAATTACTACAAAGAACTCAGAAATTACACCACATCTGCAATTCGTCGTGAAATGAGAGCATACTTAGACTTTGTACTTCTGCAAAAAAATTCTAAATCTACTTGGAATGCTCTTAGATCTCTTGATATCTTGAGAAAACCAACTACCTCTTTTCCTGATAATTTAAAGGATACAGATAGTATAAATTCTCACTTCACCAACATTACTCACACACAAAAAACTCACCCCCAACTTTATCTTCTTGATCGATATCAGAACCAGTCTAGTGATAATACTTTTCAATTTTTCCCCGTTACATCATCTCAAGTGAGAAAACATCTTTACAAAATTAAAAGCAACGCTTTAGGTTCAGATAATATTTCATTGAGACTAATTCACCTGGTAGACGAATTCTTATTAGAACATTTAACGTTCATATTTAACACATGTATCTCCAGTAGTCAGTTCCCGGAGCAATGGAAGAGAGCCTCTGTTATTCCATTACCAAAATGTAACAATCCCACTACCCACTCAGATCTTAGGCCAATTAGCATACTGCCTACTCTATCAAAAGTATTAGAGATGATCTTAAAAGAACAAATGAATAAGTTTATGGAAGAATACATCTTACCGGCTACGCAATCGGGTTTTCGTTCTAGTCACAGCACTACTACTGCGCTTCTAGACGTAACTGAGTATATATATAATTCAATTGATAAAGGAAATGTTACTTGCCTAGTGCTGCTTGACTACAGCAAGGCCTTTGACACACTTGATCATCAACTTCTAATAAAAAAACTTTCCTATTTTGGATTTTCTGCACGGGCCGTTAAACTTTTAAAAAGTTATCTTGAAAATCGCACCCAGAAAATTGTCCTGGACGAAGCTGTGTCGAGATCCCTTCCGGTTAAGTATGGTGTTCCACAAGGTTCCATTTTAGGACCACTACTTTTCTCACTTTATATTTCAGATTTTCATCAATTTGTAGAAAATTGTCATATTCATCATTACGCCGATGATTCGCAACTCTACTTGTCTTTTAACCAAGGAAATTCTTTACAAGCTCAATACATCATAAATCTAAATTTAAAAAAATTATATGATATATCGTCAGCACATAATCTCAAATTAAACTCAAAAAAATCTGTCTTTATGCTATTTGGGCCCAATAAAGCTAGAAATCTTCTAACTAATAATTTTAAACTTAGCATAGGTCATGACCCCATTCCACTTGTTTATGATCATAAAAACTTGGGGCTGTGGATTGATTCTGAACTTAGGTTCACAAAACATATTTCTCAACTGTGTCAAAGCTCATACAACGTGTTAAGACAACTGTATCCTAATAGGGATATACTTTCACCTAAACTTAAATTAAAAATGTGTGAATCACTCATTATGTCAAAGTTATCATATTGCGATACGGTATTTGGACCAGCTCTTCTTCAAAGGGATTTAAATCGTCTTCAAAAAATTCAAAATTCGTGTATTAGGTTCGCTTACGGTATACGCAAATTTGACCATATTTCACAGAAATTCAAAGAATCAAAATGGCTGCATATCAAAAAATTACATTCTTTGCATATTCTGAATATAACTCACAAAATTCTTAAATATCAAAAACCGAAATATCTATTTAATAAATTCACACATTTCAGTAATAATTACGGAACTCGGAATAAGAGTACGTTAGTAATTCCCAAATTTAGTTCATCCATTGGACAGCGAAGTTTCTCTTACACCGCAGCTAAATTATACAATACACTGCCTAAAGAATTTGGATCGTACACTCTAATTAATTTTAAAAAAAGGTTAAAAGGCTTGTTTGTCGGTTTAGGACGGTTCTAATAAAAACAATAATCTCTGTTCATCTCGGATCTGCTCTTTGGTTCTTGATATTTTCTTGGATCTTTACTGAGGTTGAGTTGAAAAACAGCCTATGCTGACACTCCGCCTATTCACCTTTGTTATTTTTATATTTAGGTAGAAAAAAAAAAAATTTATTCTTTCTTTGTTTTTTGTTATGGTGAATAAAGACGATTTATTATATTATTATTATTATTATTATTATTATAAATAAAAAGTTTAATATTATGCACTTTAACATACGATTTTAACATTAATTAAATTTTATCTTAATTTTAATATAACCAATGATAAACTTAATTTATGTGGAGTTTCTCTTTCTGTTGGGTCCTTCTTGTTGATTTCTTCAATCAACGCCAACACTCTCGTCAGGGAGGACG